AAAAAAAAAAAAAAGAAAAAAAAAATTAGCTGGGCATTTTGGCGGGCGCCTGTGATCCCAGCTACTTGGGAGGCTGAGGCAGGAGAATCACTTGAACCCAGGAGGTGGACGTTGTAGTAAGCTGAGATTGCATCATTGCACTCCAGCCTGGGCAACAGAGTGGGACTATGTCTCAAAAAAAGACACGAAGAGAAGTGCCAGGTTGAGCCAGGTCAACCCACAGGACCATGAATGACTATTTAAAAAGTGGTATTCTAGGCCATTACATATGTGGTCATTGGCTACACAGCAATAGATAACTGGAAGTTGGTAATTTAACACCTACACAGTCCTCTGAGGTAGACGTTATTGTTCCCATCAGATGAGGAAGTAAAGCCCGGAGAGACAGATGTGGCTCAGTAAGGCTCACCTAGCCAGCTGGAGGCAGCAGGTAGGGTTTGACCTGGCAGGGTCATCGGAACCCGGTTTGTTTTCTTTCCAGAGCACACGCCTGGCTGCCTGAAGCAGTTGACCAGAACTTGCAGCCAAACCATGTGGTTTTGGTCAAATTCCCTGTGGCTGGGGTGACAGGGTCATTTTCCGGGTGGCTCATCTGCGCGCCTGCTGGAACCCTGGTTTATTCTTTTGTAAAGCAGGCTTCTTCCCTCCCCCCGTGCCACTGAGACGTGATTCACACATACTAAAAATGAACAAATCGTAAGTGCAAGGCATGGCAAATTTATTTATTTATTTATTTTTAGACAGAGTCTTGCTGTGTCGTCCAGGCTGGAGTGCAGTGGCGAGATCTCAGCTCACTACAACCTCCGCCTCCTGGGTTCAAGCGATTCTCCTGCCTCAGCCTCCCGAGCAGCTGGGACTACAGGCATGCGCCAGCAAGCCTGGCTAATTATTTGTATTTTCAGTAGAGACAGGGTTTCGCCATGTTGGCCAGGCTGGTCTCAACCTCCTGAGTTCAGATGATTCACCTGCTTTGGCCTCCCAAAGTGCTGGGATTATGCCCAGCCGGCATGGTGATTTTTTACATCTGTGTGTACCCACATGACCACAACCCAGACCATGATATAGAACATTTCTGGAATCAGAATGTTCCCTTCTGCCCACTGCTGGTCAATGCCCTCAGCTCAGAGGTACCCGCTGCTCTGACCACTATCACCATAACATTCTGTCTGTTCTTGAACCTCACCTAAACAAAATCGTACAGCCTTACATTCTTCTGTGGCTATTTTTGGTCAACATTATGTCTGAAAGATTCACCAACATTTTTGTGTGTAGCAGGTTTTTTTTTAATTGCTGTATAGTATTCCAAAGTATGAATATACCACAATTTATTCATTCTACTACTGATGGACAGCTGTATTGTTTATTTGCTGATACGAGTATTACGGTACTCATTCTTTTGTGCATGTAAGCACTCATTTCTCCTGGATGTGTAAGCAGGAGTGGAAATGCTAGGCCATAGGGTAGATGCGTATTTAACTTGATGAGAAGCTGTCAGTTTCCCACCGTGGTTGCACAAAGCGCACTCGCACCAACAGCACCTGGGAGCTGCTGTTCTCTGTATCCCCACCAGCACTTGGTACCGGCAGACCTTCTCCTCTGAGCTATTCTAATAGTGGGGCAGTGGGATCTCACGGTTTTTCATGAGATGTGGAGCACCTTTCAGAGACTGGCCTGGTTTTTGTAGCTCCCCTAGGAAGCCCTGAGGAGGGATGGGAGGGGGGTTGGTAAAGGGGATGTTCCCGCAACCCAGGTGTGAGACGGGGGAGCTCTGAGTTAGGTTGAGGCTAGAAGGGAGGCAGAGGATGGGATGGAGAGCTGTCCTGGGAGGACGGTGGGATGGTGAGGATGGACGGCAGAGCTGCCAGCAGCAGGCATCCCATCTCCCAGTGGCTAGGAATGTTCCTGATCTCCAAAGACAAGCAGTGCTGAGGCAGGGCAGTGCCAAGGCTGGGGGATTTGATGGCATGGGGTCCTGCCTCTCTCTTCTTTCTGCTCTGCCATTTTTAGCTATTGATGAGGGAAGATGGCGACAAGGCAAGGAGAGAAGTGTCCCTCCTTGTGCCCCCTCCTTTTTTTTTTGTC